TACTTTTTTATGCTACAAACTATAACTATTTTTTATTATTATGCTTCAAACTATTTTACATCAATACAGCCAGGGAGTGAAAAAAAAGAAAAGAAAAGAAAAGAAAAGGAAAAATAATTATATAAACATATTAGAGACTTCTCGGTCTATAATATCTTAATTATTTTCTTTTCTTTTAGTTAGAGAAATGGTCTTTAGCCTTCCTTATAGGCTACTAGGCTACTCAAATTAACAGATACATAGTTTTCTATTTCTTTGCAAATTTACATTGAAAATTTTACCTTTATGTAGGCTATATAAAATTTAACTAGAGTTATAAGATAACGCTTCATTTTAATTTTGTTATCAGAAAGGGAGGAGTCTATTCATGTCGGGACTGTATATTGGCAGTTGGCACTTGAGTTTGTCGCTCTTGTCCAGAAGTGGAGCAGAGCAAGACTTTCGTACGTTCTGAAAAATCTTAAAATAAATGGACTGCAAAGAAAATGCCCTCAACAACCAGCGAAAACATTAATTGGCTCAACAGAAAACAATTACCAACATTTAACCTGAAAGTTACATACCAGGTGTAAACAATGGGCAGAAATCTACCAGCTCGTGATTTTGCCCCTGCTAAGCGAGAAAAATCTTGCCAATCAAGCGCTCGGGAGCTTCAACCGGCAGCAACGAGGCACATGCCTCTTTGGAATATGGTGGTGACACCTGACACTGTACCAGAGTTCACCATCCCCTCACTGTGCCCGGCGATACTCAAGGGATGCGGCAGGAAGAAGGCTGGAGTCGGGAGTGGACGGCGGCACACTATTCCCCGGTCCACGCACCCATCCTCGTCTGTCCGAGCACTCACACGCTGCTGCCCGTTCTCAGAGGAGCACGACCTGAGCTTTATGGATGATCTCCAGACTTACGCTTTGTCAGACCCGACCACCAGAGCTGCAATGTCATTACCTCATCTCAGCAAAATCACCACTCCTTACGGCTTTCTGACACTTGGTGAAAGTCCGTGCGTTTGCAGAAGGGAATCATTGTTTTTTGAGGAAAATAGGTTTCAGGAATTTCTCACAAATGCAAAACGTGCGTCTTGTTTAACTACGCAAGGTCCTATGAAACCAAAGAACCAGGCTTACTATTCTTTCTCACAAGTTGGAAAGGTGAAAACGTTGTCCGCGCGTTCCTCTGGTGACTCAGCTCCTCTGCAGCTCCAAGATTCATGTGACCATTCAGAAGGAATGAGACCTGCTCACCTCAACTATGGATTCCTACAAAAAGGATGGATAAAGTGTTTATGTAAGGCTCCCTGGTCTCGGTGAAGTCATTTTCCAAAGAAACTGGATATGTGTCTTTCTCACACTCAGGACCAACAAACATCACTTAGATTGGACATCTCGTGTGATTTAGACTGTGTATAAATGCACTTGTAGCATTTTCCAATATATAAAACAAATGTAAAAACTATGAAAGAAACATTGTGATTATAAAAACAGAACTGTTATTAAAAATAAAGATTCAAAAAGGAATCACGCAGCTGTCATATTGCAGAACAACCTTATAGTGAAGGGTTCTTCAAAGAACCTTTTTTTTTTTCTTAGTGTGAGGAGCATTCTAATAATCTATAGAACCCTTTTCCACTATAAAGAACCTTTTGTGCATTTGAAACTTTCTGGAACCTTTATTTTTAAGAGTGTTGGTCTAGTTTGGTCATAATTGTATTGTTTAGTATGCAAATAAATGCTACACTTTACATGCTGTCTGATGTGTTGATGCATTACCATTAAACTTGTATATTCATGAATGAGTACCATACATTAATCATGTAAATAAAATGACTGATTATGTGCACCGTTATTATGTATATCAAGGAACCGATATAGTTCGAACGAGAAATGGTGAGAAATGATTCATTAAAAGATAAAGCCAAGTATTTTCCTCTTCTAAGTCTGCACGTGCTAAAATGAATGCTAAATTGAAAAAAAAATATGGACTAAACATGGAACGCTGAATATAACACAACATTGGTAATCACAGAAAAGTTGCAAGCAGAAATTGAACTTAAGCCTTTCCTTTCATAACTTCACAATATAACAATGAAGTTTAAATGTCATCTGTGCTTCTAACAATATAATGGATGCAATGAGTATTAAATGGGGTTTCAAATGATATGACATGATGGCAATATTTATGTTATCTGTGTCCCTAATTCAATGATCAAACACAAAAGAGCCGTTTTTAATCATCTCTGAGTAATACTGTCACCTTTAAGTGCTCATGGGAATGACAATCTGAAATCAGTGACAAAATGCACTCAAGGTGGTTGAATGTAATTGAAGTGTCAAGCAGGTACTTGTGCAGGCTCTCCAGATAACAGATAAGTAAGAAATTAAAGATGACTATAAGTGGATTCAGATCTCGATTGCAGTCAGAAACTAATGTCAGGGTCTGTATGAATGTGCTGCATTATAGTCGTGACCTTATGTGGGTAATTTAGAGAGAGGCTCTATGCAGCAAATAGTCTGCTGGCTCCTATGACAACGTTGCCAGATGTATTATTATCACTCCTAAGCACTAGGCATACCATTGTAATGGGCAAAAAGCTGGACAAAAGATCTAAGATCAAACTGGGCAATGTTATTAATCTCTAAGGAGTTTGGTTTTATTTTTATGGATTATTTATGCTTTGTTAAAGCTGCTGTAGGTCTGCGTGGCTCACAAAATTGCTGCTTCAGTCACACCAAAAACTATTAATAACAACTGTCTCTCAAAACTGGAGCCCCTTTCATTCATCAGAAACATCTGAGAGATGAACCAGAGATTAACGTATAGATGGCTTGAGAAAGAAATTGCAGAATATGCGTGCAAGAGTCTGACTGGTTGAAAAAAAAAATTGGAATAGAAGAAATTCTAAATATTGTGTATAAAGTGAAATAAATGACAAAATAGTAAATGATAAATGATCAATGTTTGTCTTCAAAACATTTGAATAAAAGCCAAGTGATTTATTGGTGAGCTAAAATCTATATACTTCATCATATTTAATATTTACATGTCTTTTCTCACACTCATCCTGGAAGTAATCATGTTTATTTAGCCTAATATATTTTAAGCCAGCAGTGCTGCTACTTATCCACCAGGGGACGATATTCAATCACACTCATCCTTCACTCCATTTACAGCTGCAGCTGGTGTTCTTACAAAAGAAACATCTTAAAGTGCATATATACAAGATCAGACATCATCTAGTGCTGTACAAGATTATGTGCGTGTGCATTTGGACAACAGAACAGTCTTGCTTGGTTTTCCTGTGGATGCGTTTGACTAGAGTCAGTGTGTCTCTGTTGATCCCATGGAGCTTTTTTGCTCTCTCTCTCCCCACCGTCTCAATCACTGTTGTTTATTTCCCCCAGAAGCCAGTAGGTCCTCATCTTCCCTTTTCCCTTCATCTCCACATCTCCTCTCAGCTCTAGCTGGAAGCAGCTGAACTCCTGCAGCACATCTCGAGTGGCTGACGACACATGAATCTTCAGAGCTGCAGGATAACAGCGTGTGAATGATTACAGTGTTACTGTATAAATCCTGATTAGTTGCATTCGCAAATGTCTGTTGGCAAACATGATTTACGCATGTACTTTCCATACCAGCAGGTATATTAAAAGAGTCAATCATTTTTATTGGCACACACAGTGTTATTTTAACATTATTTGTATAATATTGTTATTGTAATACAATATTGTACTGTACACTGGCTCTTATGTGCATTCCCACAGTGCAGCGTTTCAGTCAGGATTGTGATGGTCAAGGCAGATATACAGTACTGTGCAAAAGTCTTAAGCCACTATATAGTATTTTCACCAACAAAAAAAATGGTTTTAAGTCAGTTATTTCTATCTCTTGCAGTAGTGTGTCAGTAGGAAATATCAGTTTACATTTCCAAGCATTCCTTTTGCCATTAATTGTAATAATCCAGTGAGATCTTTGTATGTACAAGGAGTCTGACAACAGCCAGTGCTGCACACAGAGATCTGATCTCACCATCATTCAGCCTGTCTGGAATTACGTGAAGAAACAGAAAAAACTCAGACAGACTAAACCCAGAAGAACTGTGGCAACATCTCCAAGATACTTGAAGAAACCTTCCTGCAAAGCTACAGTACTGTGAAAAGTTTTAGGCACTTGTGTAAACATGCTGTAAAGTGAGGATGCTTTCAAAAATAATGTCATAAATATATTTTATTTATCAATTAACTTCTATTAACTAAATCAAATCAACACTTGATGTTACCACCCTTTTTTGTTTAAAACAACTTTTGTCCTATATGCTTGCACATAGTTTTTCCGGTAGCTTTGCATGTAGGTTTCTTCAAGTGTTTTGTAGACATCGTTGCCACAGTTCTTCTGGATGTAGTCTGTCTCAGTTTTTCTGTTTCTTCATGTAATCCCTGATGATCAGATCAGATCTCTGTGTGGAGCGCTGGCTGTTGTCAGACTCTTTGTGCATACAAAAATCTCACTAGATTACTACAATTAATGGCAAAAGGATAAGGAATGCTTGGAAATGTAAACTGATATTCCCTACTGACACACTACAGCAAGAGATAGAAATAACTGACTTAAAATCATTTTTTGCTGGTCAAAATACTAATGGCCTAAGACTTTTGCACAGTACTGTATATGTTAATCTTCTCCTGTGAGAAATAAATTAGAAACGCTTACAATTCATTCCTTTCCTGATTGCTATTTGTTTTGCTTTTGTCAAGTGTTATCTAACATTGATTGTTCTCATTTATCTGGCAGCGATTATATGGGGAAATAGGTGGTGATAGGTGGGAAATAATTAAATCTGAATTACAATGGAATCTTTTCATCAAATTATTTTTTTTGCTTCGTGAATGATTGTAAATTTATGGAAAACTGGTGTTGATAATGCAACATCTGAAGAAGCAGCTCTGTGCTCAAATATTGAAGCAGATGTTCAAAAAAGATAATTTAGGAATACAGTTTTTAAAAAATCAATAAATTGATTGAAATTTTTATTTTCTATCCCAAATCTCTAATAGAAATGAAACTGGTCTTAAACCTTAACTTATACCCTAGTATAGAGTCTTGCTCAAACCACTAACCCTTTAAAAACTGACCTGAACTCTTGACCTTTACAGTCTCTATGGTTATAAGCACAAGTTGCTATTTGGTGGGATTGGGAACAGTGGGTTCTTACGTTCTCCATTCGACTCCATACGAGAAGATGTGTTCACCGTATCTCCAAAAAGACAGTACCGAGGCATCTTCAGCCCAACTACGCCTGCACACACAGGACCTGAAACACACATGGGAAATGCTATTCAAAATGATGCATGCTAATATAATTGAAAAATATAAATATAAAAATTGTTCTATTCTATGGGAGAGTTTGAAAAGTACGTCTGTATGGAGGAAAGTATAGATTAACAAAGCTCATTACGAATCCCTGTCAATTTCTGCTAATTAAAAGTCCATCAGTATGTTAAAGTCTAGTTCAACTTAAGTAAGCTTTGAAGCTATCATTCTTACCACTGTGAATGCCGATTCGTAATTTGAGCTGCTCATCAGGTCGGTGGCGAATCTTAAATGTTTTGACAGCCTCCAATAGAGCAAGGGACATGCGTGCAATCTCATGACCGTGCAGTTTCCCGTTCCGTACCGGCAATCCTGAAACCACCATGTAGGCATCACCTATTGTCTCCACCTGAGCCAATAAGAAATAAAACCACCATAGCATGAGGTAATGATTCTTCTCGGCACAAACAAAGAAGATGTTTCGTATTAAATACAGTGAATGTTTTAAAGAGAGTTACTAGAGGTGAATAGGTCTTAATTTTATTTTAATGACATTTTGCAATATGAAATTTCACTAAAAGCAAAAATACACATTAAGGGATATGAAAATACACATTTTTCTATTAGTTTTCATTTAAGATTTATTAACATATTGAGCATTCTTTTTTTTAAATTACTTTTTTAATTAATACTTCATGGATCATGTCCCTTTAAGTTAAAATGTCCCATAAAATTCTAATGCAAAAATAATTAAATAAAGCCCTCTTACAATTATCAAAAATATAAGATTTTTTTATGTTTTCTTAAGGTTTAGTAAGTTTGTAAAGTTAAAACTGTTAAATCCAAACAGAAAAAAAAAATGAAATGAGGAATAAATATTATTTGTTTGCAAAAGATACACTTTATACAGCTGTCTAGGGCAAATATGCAGTCAGGTATGAGGTGGCAATACCTTGTAAACGTCAAAATTATCTATAATGGCATCAAAGCAGATGTAGAGGTCATTGAGGAGAGTGACGACCTAAAAGAGAGACACATCCACCTAAAATCTTTAGAGTGAAATATTAAAAACAACGCAGAATTACTCTCAGGTTCAGTTGTAAGATACCTGCATAGGTGTGCTCTCTGCTGACAGAGCCGTGAAGCCCACAATATCACTGAAGTAGATGGTGACAGAGTCAAAAGCTTCGGCCTGCACCGTCTCACCCCTCTTTAGCTGCTCTGCCACTGAACTAACACAACAGAAAGTAAATCTTTTTAGAGTAAGCCAAGTGTGTATATGATTTTTTTTATAGTTCATTTATTTGTTGTGTATTATGTGAGTCAACTGACTGAGGGAGGATCTGGTACAGTAAAGCTTCTGCCTTGCGTTTCTCCTCCAGATAGGCTTGAGTCCTCTCTTCTACCAGCTCCTCCAGATTATTAGCATACTGCTCCATGCGAGACAAAAGATTATCCAAGATATTACTTCTGTGCTCCCTGAGAAAGAGGATGAGAGACAGATAAAAAAACATGATAAGGCGAATAATAATAAAAAGATCTGTACATTTTCAACTAAATGGTTGCTAGGGTGTGGCCACAATGTTTGCATGGTGACACTAATAGACTGAAGGTGAAATAAACATCAGTGATGCTTTGCCACAAGCAGGAACTGCAGGAGCAACTACAGATGCGATATATTCATGGTAGCCAATGGAGGCAGCGTGGTCTGAGTGCTGATATTGTTGGTAATCCCTCTGCATCTTCAACAGGTACCTCAGGGTCATGAGCGTTTCGCCCCTTAACCTGTATGCTTCACCTGAGCGGGGCAGCAAATACCAGATTAGCCTTCACCTGCAGAAGGATTCCACTTGCGATCTCTCATTAACCACAACCACCTTGAGCTAGTCTCTGCTGCTGCTGCTATCTCCCCAGTGGCTTTCCTCAGTCGTTTAGGTTCCAACCCAAGCTTCTGTAGGAAATAGCGCATAGATGTAGCTGGGAAGCCGCGGCAGCCGACTTCGATAGCAGACGAGGCGGCACTCCATCCTTTAATAGAAGCTTGGTCAATCAGGTCTTGATACGTAGCCTTCTTTAACTCATGAGAGATGGCTAGCCTGTCCTCCCAGGGCACAGTCAACTCAACTACTAAGATGTTTTTTTTGCTCCTGGACAGAGGAACCATATCTGGTCGAAGTGTAGTCACTGCCACCTCTTCTGGGGAAGACAAGCTTCTTTTTAAGGTCAACTTACATCTCCCAGTCTGATGCTTGATATAAAATAGAGGGCGGAGTATTATCAGTTCTAGTTGATTTGGGAACCTTATCTCCTTGCCTTAGGGAACTGACTCCTCTGGGTGGTGGTGCCTTACATTCATTGGCTTTAACCCTCTGTAAGTTTGTCCATTTGGCAATTTCAACAAGGATGCAAAGTCAGCAACACCAAAGCTCCAAAAGTATCAAAAAATTTATTTTTTAAAAAGACTGTCGCATAGCATATGTGACGTTTCGAGCACGCAGGCTCTTCATCAGACAAATGAACAACACTGATATCGCAAACTTTATAAGCCTACCTCCAGGTGATCAAAGGTCACATTTTTAAAATTCGAGGCACTATTTCATGTAAAACGGCTAATGTAGTTTATCTGTTACGTTTCCCCTGTGGTCTATGTTATATTGGTAAGACCAGCAGACCTCTAAAAACTCGCATCTCTGAACATCGATGTGCAATCAGACATCGCGATCCAAAAAGTCCGGTAGTACAGCACTTTGCAGATTCAAGACACCCAGTTTCCACTCTTCAGTACATAGGTATTGAAGTAGTGAAGTGTTCGCGTCGCGGAGGTGATATCAACAAATTGCTTTTACAGCGTGAAGCCTTTTGGATATATACATTAGACACGTTGTCCCCTAGAGGATTAAATGAGGACTTTGATATTCGTCCATTTCTTTAAACATAAGATATCTATCTACATATAATAAATAACGCTTTGTGGTTATTGATTTGTATTTATGTACCCAGGCAGGCATCAATTAATGTCATTAAACAATATTTTGAGAATTACATTTGTGTATTTTGCATAGCTTTATATATGTTTTTGATTTATTTTTATTTTCTTATTTTTGGTTTCTAGGTTTTTCTCCTTGGTTGATATGTTATTGTTTTGGTATTATTATTATCACGATAATATTGTATGGTCATGTGACCTTTGATCACCTGGAGGTAGGCTTATAAAGTTTGCGATATCAGTGTTGTTCATTTGTCTGATGAAGAGCCTGCGTGCTCGAAACGTCACATATGCTATGCGACAGTCTTTTTAAAAAATAAATTTTTTGATACTTTTGGAGCTTTGGTGTTGCCGACTTTGCATCTAAAATATTTCTACTTGTTTTTTGGTCGAGCACCCAGTTGAGATCGATGTGCGTGCTTTTGCCTGCTCTTCAATACTCAAGAATCTACCATGTAAACAGAGATCATAATCGAAGTAAACAGAAATCGAATTAAGACACGTGGAGTATTCCTATTTTAGTCACATTACTGAAGTGCAGTATAGACATGTAAACACCTTAATCACATTATTACCGTCGTGTAGGACTTTTCGCCGCATTTTGCGACAGGATACACACACGGCAGTGGTCAACCGTTTGACTGCAAATAAAAGAGCTTCAACACCCGTCGTCGTCTGTATGCACGTACAAATAATTAACTGCACTTGAATAAATAATATATTGAGAATTATATTAGTGTATTTTGCATAGCTTTATATGTTTTTGATTTATTTCTATTTCTTATTTTTGTTTCTATGTTTTTCTCCTTGGTTGATATGTTATTGTTTTGGTATTATTATTATCACGATAATATTGTATGGTCATGTGACCTTTGATCACCTGGAGGTAGGCCTATGAAGTTTGCGATATCAGTGTTGTTCATTTGTCTGATGAAGAGCCTGCGTGCTCGAAACGTCACATATGCTATGCGACAGTCTTTTTAAAAAATAAATTTTTTGATACTTTTGGAGCTTTGGTGTTGCCGACTTTGCATCTAAAATATTTCTACTTGTTTTTTGGTCGAGCACCCAGTTGAGATCGATGTGCGTGCTTTTGCCTGCTCTTCGCAATTTCAACAAGGACCTTATCATGCCTCCATCTGTAGCGTCCTTCTCCCAGTGCCTTGGGACATCCTGTCAAAATGTGGTTCAGGGAACACAGGACTGCTCTGCACCGATGGCAGGATGGATCCTCATCTTTGCCCCGGATCTTTAGGTTGTTTGGAGTTGGTAATTGGTCTGCTATAGCTCACAAGAGGAAGGTTAATTTGACCTGGTCAGCACTCCAGAGTTCCTTCCAGGACAGTGAACGCTCGAGTGCCTGACCCCACTGCATCCACTGCCCTTGAGAGGCGAGCCCTACTGCTCTTACACGCCTGTCTTCTTCTGCATCCTCTCTAACCCTCTGCACCACAAGTGTCCTCCTACCTTTGGCATCGGCCTTACTCCAACTCTTGGCTTTGTAGTTTCCCAGTCCCAATCGTCCTTGACAGACCACGCCAATGATTTCCTGGGGTTTCCAGTAAGATTCCGCTTCCTTCACTTGTGGCTTCCACTTCCTGCCACACATGACTGTCTTGTTGGCATGTCGAACTTTCTTATCCTTAGACAGTAGTGCTGACTGCTCTTGCCTTTGTGGCTTTAAATTCTTCCACCACCGATGAGACTGGTAAGCGGAGCTTGGAGGACTTGCTGTACAAATTGACTGAGCTGAAAGTTGGAGGAACACCTAGCCATCTTCACAAAAACCTGCTGCACAGCCTCTCCATTGCTTCCACCTGAGTCAAGGGTAAGTCGTATAGCATGAATGGCCATTGTAATCTGGGTATGATGCCATGCTGGAAGCACCATACCTTAAATCTCCCAAGCAGCTGGCTGTTGTCTATTTTCTTGAGCCAAATGGTCAATTGAGCTATGGTTTTCTTAAGCTTGGTGCTGTCCTTCAGAGTGAAGTCATTGCTTTTTCCCAGACACCGAATTCTTTGTTCTTCAATAGTTGGAATTGTAGCCCCTTGAATACTGAAGGTGTTCCTCAACAGCTTTCCTTTCAGGATACACAGGCTCCTAGATTTACCTGATTTAAATTGCAGCTGTGACCAAGTAGCCATTTTCCCCAGTGAACTTAGGATCCACTGAGATCCCTGGAATGATGGAGTCATTACAGTAATATCATCCATAAAGGCTAGACAAGCTGGTAGCTTTTCTCCTACTTTGAGTAATAGGTTCATGGCAGCCACAAACAAAGCCACGGATATCATATTTCCTCCCATAATACCCCATGGTGTGGCCACAATGTTTGCATGGTGACACTAATAGACTGAATGCTTTGTAAACTATAAGACATATAAAAGTGCTTGTTAAATATCTTAACTAGAAATACATAAACAGACAAGTGAGCCAATACAGCAAAATGGGACAGACCTGTTCTGTTTGCGGAGTAACACACTAATATGGTTGAACTCTGGTCTGTCTGATGGTTCTTCAGCCCAACAGCGCTGCATCAGCTGGCCCAGCTCTTCACTGTGGGCCTGAGGGTTCACTGATGGCCGGAGATATGGCCATTCACCCAGAGCTACACGGTCCACAATCTCTATACACAAGGAAAAGTAAGAAAAAAAGAGTGAGGAAATTTTGAGCTTAAAGGAACAGATCACCCAAAAATGAAAGCTCTGTCATCATATACTCACCCTCAAAATCATATTTTTTTCATTTAGATAACCTTTTCCAGCATCTAATGCCCATTTATAATTCATCTTTAAAAACACTAATAACAACACTGATAAACATAATCTTTAGTGAATGTCAAAATATACATTATTCATACTGTACACTGTAGTGCTGTATGTTCACAAGTAGCAATTAAAATTAGTAATTTTCATTTATTTTAATTGAGTGATTTTAATTTATTAACACAAAATACTACAAAAAAATTTAACATTGAGCTATTTATTATGAGGTTATCCGCCATGATTTTAAAATCGGCATGAAATTTTAATTCACTGTATCTATTTTCAGTATCACTTTAATAAGGCATTAACTAACATTAATCAATGAGCAACACATTTGTTACAGCATTTTAAAAATCTTTGTTAAAGTTAGTCTTTAAAAACACCAATACAACTGTTCATTGTTTGTTTGTGCTAGCTCAGGTCCATTAAACAACATACAACTTCTGATTTTAATAATGTATTAGTAAATGTTGAAATTAAAATTAATTGAGAGTAATAAATGCTGTAGAAGTATTTTTCATTGTTAGTTCATGTTCTAAATGCATGTTATTGATCCTATTGTGAATGATTTTTCCATGATTGATTCTTTTTTTCTTTTTCTTTTTTTGACCTTACAACTTTTAATCAAAATGTCATAACTTGCATTCAGATCTGCCTCTTTCCAATCAACAACTATGAATTAAACTAAGATCCAGAATCCGTGTATCATTCGATCATTCGTTTTTTGATTTAATATTGAAAGTAGAAAAATGAGAAAACGGCTCCTTTTTCTTTTTTTCCAAAAAACGAGAAACGAGAATTCAGCTTAAATTTTCGTTTTTCGTTCATGGGTGGAAAAATGAATAAACAGCTTGAATATTTGATTTCTACATGTGGGCGGGAATTAAACGCCCCTAGCCCTGAATTTTCTTATTTTCAATAATCTGTTTTACTTGGACATCACAATACAGATGAAAATATTATTCCATTATGTCACAACTTCAATATTGGAGTGTATATAAAAGAATATAAGTCATTTTTAGGTTGAACTGCTCCTTTAATTCTAACAGTGTCAGCAGTCTGAAGACATTTTGCCTGTGAAAGTGCTCTCCTTCCTTTTCTCTCTACTATCTATTGCATCAGAGCATTTTCCATCATTCATATTCCCACAAACTCCCACAATGTTTTATCTCTGTTTTCCATCCTCTTCCTGATCTCTCTCAGCTCTATTAATCAGGCTCTTACAGCTCTGAAAGCCTGGAAGAAACGGCAGTGGGTTGTAGCACTCTAGGAAAAAGACCTCTTCTCAGCTCCGTCTGAGGCTTTTCATGGACAATCTGGCCTGATAAGAAACAGCTCTTCAAAGCTCAGGAAATCTTTGCTGCTGCACAATTTCTTTGTGTTTGTGTTTTGTATTTATATGTGTGCCGGTGGTGCCAGGTTGATTGGTTGACCAGGAATTCACTAGACTGATTGGTTCACCAGACCAGATCTTCACCAACAGTAATCTTATTACCAAGGTGCCCAAATGCATGTGTGAAGATTGATATGATCTTCTCTTCTATGTCAGTTCTGATTATAGTGCTGAGATCACAAGCTCCAGGGAGGCTGACATGATCTGTGTTTGTGGGTGTAGCAGCATACACACACACACACATCGCTCTTTGATCTGTATTCTGAATCATATGATTAAATCCATGAATTAGATTAGAGAGGAAAGGAGAGTGAAAGAGAAAAGCATGGATGGATGTTTGTGTGTGTTTGTGTGTGTGTGTGTGTGTGTGTGAGAGAGAGAGAGAGAGACAGAGACAGAGACAGAGAGAGAGAGAACAAATGAACCTTTTAGTGTCTAAGAAAATTATATAAAGTGACAGTGATTTATACAGCTTTGCTTTAATTTCATTCGTATGGAAATTGTAGATGCAATGGAGACATTTTACAACTTCAGAGATGTTTTAGGATGTCGTGATTTTCATATTTTATGGTAATTAGCAACTCTGTATACTCATATGGAATCAAAATGCAGGAGTTTGACACAAAATATCTTCTGTGTATGAACGAGAGCTCTCCACCCTCTAAGGGTTGTTCTCTGTAAACAAGAACCATAAGCAGGGGATGCAATGTGTGTGAGGATGTTGGCAGGATGACAAGATAATGTCAAGTGTCTTCCTCTTCAGACAAACTCACTGGCGGCAGAGTAAAAAGGGTAGTGGACTGGCAAATTAAGAGTGTGCCAGGGTGTTCTTATGCATACATACTGTAGGCCTATGTTTAAAGATTCATCTTTGATGTGTTTGTGGTAAAGAGAGGAAGTGAGAATATGCATGTGTATGTGTGTGAGCACAGCTGTGAATGGCTTCTGGTTGTGTATTTGTTGACCTCTCTGAAGAACCTGGTTCATTAGCTTCTTTCATTCGTGTCACTGCAGAGGCTCTTGAGGGTAATTTGGCTGAGTGTTCTGAGTGCTGAGCCATGCATCAATATTTTAAAGTGTTTTGGAAAGAGGCAGAAAATCAAGTTTTTCATCCTCCTCAAATTGTTCTCAGACAATTAGGTATTTCAGACCCCAAATCTCACAGAGAAGCAAAAAAATTTATTTTATTAATTTATTAATGAAATGGAAAACACATAAAACCAGGATTTTCCATTGCCTTTTTCTGCCAAAGGAATAGGAACTAAGGCTTTTAAGCTTAAAAATAACATATAAGTACAATGAACGAATCAGTTCAGTTCAACTTGTAATATTTCAGATGTTCTAAAACCATGATAGCTTTGTTTGAGAAACCGATAAAATAGAAACTAAATTTAAAGACTGGAATGCACTACACAATTTAAAATCTGAACAGATCTTAAAACACTAGGCATCATGCGCTTAGTTGCCGACTTTATAAATTGGTTACAGAGGAAATACTCATACACTACAACCACTGAGACACACTATCAGACATTCAAGTCATTCTGAACACAAAAAACTGATGCAGAAACATACACCTTGTTGCTAGGTAATGCATGACAAATAAAAACAATACGTGTTCCAAAATATCAAACATGTTAGATATCCTCTGACTGGATGGAATCACAGTCTGAAGCTAAAAAAAGTCTATGCCCATCATACACCATGTGATTTTCTGTGAAATCTGACAACTCAGATAATGGACTGCCCATTATCTGAAAATGACCCTGACTTTCAGCGACTCGTGTCAACTCCTCCGGACTGTTAATCGATGCAAAAATCTGGGCAAAAGTCATGTAGTGTATTTCAGTCTCAAGTTGCTATTCACTAAAAAATCTCGACATTGGCTCTAGATGTTCATGAGAGAAGTAAGATGTCAGATTCATGAACAAACCAAGTTCTTTTGAGTCAGATCTGTTCAAAGAATCGGAAAACTGAATGAATCATTCATGAATAAAGCACCTTAAAAACCATGACAGGATACCAAAGTGCTGTACAAGAAAATCAAAAACAATAATAGCAATTAATTAAAATACATAAGTAAATACCTGTAAAACTACCATACATAAGAGTCACTGAGGTCCAAAACAACACTGGACCCCACTGACTTCATTATATGGACAATTTTTCAAAATTTAATATTTTTTGCTTTACTGAAAGTCATTCGGGTTTTAAACAACATGAGGGTGTGTAAATGTTTAACGTTTAGGATTTAAGGTCAAAAACAGGATGGAGATGGGCAGATTTAGGCTAAACGTGTAATTTATGTATTGGCAAGATTTGATCTCTGACCTTTGGGGTTAAGTGAGTCTCCCTCCAAGTAAAAGACTTCTCTCCGCAGAGCCACTTCTTGAAGGATAATGCCAAAACTGTAGACGTCGCCCTTCTGTGTGCCTCCTGGAGGAAAGCACTCCATTCTCAACAGCTCTGGAGCCATCCACAGCTTACCTACACACAGGCATATGCAGATGCACACAGACACAGACAGGGGACTGACAGTGAATACCAGAGTCCGTGACTAAAGTTTGCATGCATGCGTGTTGTGGAAATCGTAGCCACGTGAGTCAAATTGACACAAAATGACAAAGCCGAAAGGTCACATGACTGACGTGCATAATAAGAGTGGGCGTCTTCCGTGTCTGACTCTGTCCTGATGCTGGACAGCCCATAGTCAGTGATCTTTAGCACAAAACGATTGTCAACCACACAGTTGGATGATTTCAGGTTCCCATGGGATACAATCACACTGTTGTGAAGGAAAGCCATGCCCTGGGGGAAGAGAAAGATTGGAAAGTATAAAAGAAAGCAAGAGGGTAGGGACAGAGCACATTCAGAGAAAACAAATTTAATCACTTTTGGAAAGATATCATGGAAAATAAATGCACATTGAAAGTACAGAGAGGGGCCTCTACCTTTACTATGTCACTGACTAGTGAATATTTGAACATCCAGTCTAGTGTGATGCTTTCATTTTCCAAAATGTCCTGTACACAGATGCAGAAAAATCTGAGATAAGTGCATATACATACATATATGGCCCAAAAAGTATTTGGACTTAATAATGAACAAATGCAATAGATAACAACTGGACTTATGGTACATAAAGAGCTGTATAATGAACATGTTCATCGTTATAAAGATGCTCTTTCGGCTGCCAAATATGATTTTTATTCACATCTAATTGAGTCTGGAGATAGTAATACTAAAGCCTTGTTCTCCACTGTAAATTGTATTCTGATACCACCTGACAGCCTTCCTACACATCTGTACTGCACTGCTCAATATGAAAAATGTATGTCTTTTCGTGTACAAAATAACCGTCATCCACCAGCAGTTGGCCTCCTCAGCTAACCCATATTGTAGTTCATTATATAGTGCCTCAACTCATTCCCCCCTTACTCGTATTTCTTCTTGTACCTTGCCATCTGAATTAGAACTTTCCCATCTCATTTACAAATCTAATTCTTCCACGTTTACTCGATTCTATAACAGATTATCTGGTAAAAGCCTGTCTTCCTTCTCTTTCTTTTCTTATAACCATTATTATTCACACCTCCCTCAGCTGTTCCATCATCTTTTAAAATAGCTGCTATAACCCCAATTCTTAAGAAACCTGGTGCAGACCCCAACAATCTAGATAACTTCCGTCCCATCTCAAATCTTCCTTTATTTCCAAAATTCTCGAAAATGCAGTTGCAGCACAGGTCCATGCTAACCTTATATGAGTGTTATATGAATGTTTCCAGTCAGGATTCGTTCTAAGCATAGTACGGAAACTGCCCTGGTGAGAGTAACTAATGATCTGTTAATGGCTGCTGAAGGCGGGTCCTTATCTATTCATGTCTTGCTTGATTTGAGTGTAGCTTTTGACACCATTTCACACAATATTTTGTTGAACCGTTTATCTGCTATTGGTATCTTTGGTATTCCTATCGCCTGGTTTACTTCATACCTTTCCAACCGCACACAGCTTGTACAACTAAAAAGAATTTCATTCCCAACCTTTTTCTGTTAGCTGTGGTGTCCCCCAAGGCTCTGTCCTATGTCCCCTATTGTTCCTAATTTATCTTCTCCCACTTGGTAATATCTTTTTTAAATTTGGTATCTTTTCTAAATTTGTTACGCTGATAACACACAACTTTATGTATCTACAAAGCCTGACTCCATTCTTTCACCTGTCTGTTTTACCAACTGTCTTCACAAAATAAAAGTTTGGTTATCTGCCACCTTTGAGACCTAAACAGTCTCAATAATCAATATGACGCCATATTGCTCAGAAAATTTAAACTGTGTGTGTGGTTTGACAGTGAATACTGTGTGAGTTATGCTTCATACATCGCAACACTGACAATAGATAATGGACCTTTTTTTACCGTGAAATTTCACTAATGTGACCGCACCTTTAGGCTGATAATTCCATTTTTAGGACATTTAAAACATCAATTCATTCATAGTTCAGCCAACCTGAGATCTTCCACAGGCACTTGGCTCATATTGATGTGGCTCAACATGTTATCAAAAGGATAGTTTCAGGGAAACGTTAAAAATGTTAAAAGTTTAGGGTTAAAGGATAGAAAACTTCATGAATCTTGAGTGCCTGTACCTGCAGGCTGCCTCGAGGGCAGTATTCTGTTACGATGCAGACGTTGGGTGGATCGATGCAGGCACCAATAAAATGGGTCAAATGCTCATTCTGCACATCTCTCATCTGGGGAACAAACACACACTATTATTTTTAATTCACAGAATATCCTTAAAAAAATTTTTTTAAATACTATTACTACTACACTGAAAAAATGGTGCAGAAACTGATTTCACTCAGAAATTGCTAGTAAATTTCACCATTAATTACAAAGTAATGGCAAGTAACATACTGAATTAAACTTGAAATGTTGACGTAGAAAAACTGAAATAGTATTTTCTTGTAAAACATACTCCAATAATCTGTTTTATTTACAATTTTGAATTTTTTTTACAATGTAGTTGGTTGTTTGTGAATCTATTGTAATGATTATAATCAGATTTGCAGAATAATTCTTCAGTAGAGCAAAATAACAGCATGACACACTCACATGCTTCAGTTCAAACAACACTTTCCTCGTTAAATCGATGCGCTTTCTGTTGATGTATTTAATGGCCACAATGTTTCCCTGGAGAAGAAGCAAGCATACACACACACGCGCTATGTTTGCAATGAGATTTGCAATTTGAAGTTCTTACATGCATACAAATGTTACACTTTACAATAAGGTTTATTATTATCATTAGTTAATGTATTAGATATCATTAAACTAACAATGAAAAATACTGTTAAAGCATTTAATCTAGGTTAATGTTAATTACTACTAACACTAATACATTTTTAACATTTCAACTTTAACATTATTGAATGTATCATGAACAAACATGAAATGGCAATGAACATATTTTTGAATTATCATTAACCTATTAATACATTAATAAATGCTGTAAATAATGTTGTTCATTGTTAGTTCAAAATACTAAATATGTTAACAAATTGAACCTTCCTGTAAAAGGTTACCAAGCAAACATTTAAACCAGAGCTTGACAGAATGATACCTTAAAGTAGCCAGTCTTAGCAAACACCTGGAAATTACCGTCAGCTGTCAGCAGTGATCCATAGTTTGAACCTCTCTGTAGAGAATGAGGGAAATCAAATGACTCGGTGATGAAAATTAAATAAATAATAAATAAAATTTGTATTTAAATGAAAACCAGAGAGTTGGAGAAGACATTTAAAATATGAGTGTGCACTATGTAGTATGTACTGTATCTGTGTTTTACTAGAGAGAGTGTGAATTTGCTGCCGGTGCTCCTCATGGCCTTTTCCAGATTGCCCATCTGAATGTCCTCCCAAGGAATTCTCCATAACTGAGCGACCAACTCCTTCTCCAGCTTCAGCTTTCTGTGTGTGTACATACAGTATGTGTCTTAGATGCAGCCATATTTGTAGAAAAGAATCACATTTATAAATTACAGGTCAGTTATCAAAATCATCTAGCTAGCACCCACCTGTATATAAACACAGTCACAGTGAAGATGATGACGAGGATGAGGAAAAGCACAATGGAAATCATCTGGTGCATTGCGATAGTTCCTAAAAGGAAAGAGGGAATGTGACGGATAGTGAGAGGCTGGTAAGCAGTTGGACTGCAGAACTACCGTACGATACCCACGTGCACGACAGGCAGGGTTATCATTCTTAAAGCCGCAGAGGGGCACATCCCAGGGAATGTTGCCACCTGGCCACTGGATGGCCATCCCAGGAAGAATCTTCATCTGCTTCTGAGTGCCATTGTACACCGCCACAGTCTGCAGGACAACATGTAAGAAAAAAAGAGAACAAATGCAATGGAGTTCTATAATTTTATTTATACAATAAATTAAATTCTAAATGGAAATGGAAAGAAACAGGCAGCAGTGTTCAGTGTTAGACTTGTTGCAATATCTTTAAGATCTTCAAAATTGGATGCAATTCAAAAGATTAGGGTCAGTATTTTTTTAAAGAAATTCATTTTATTCAGCAAGGATGCATAAATTGATCAAATATGACAATGAAGACATTTACAATATTGCAAAAAAAGAAATGTTTCAGACGGAATGTTTCAAACTGAAGTAATGGTTGCTGAATATTGCATAAAATAATTATTCCATCAGAATGCACAGCTAATTTGTGTGTGTGCGTGCGTGTGTGTGTGTGTGTCCAGATGTTACAGTTATGGCATCTACCAGCTGGGGCTAACTGAACCTTGACCACTTGACGCCAACATAGGAGAAAAAAAAACTGCTTGTCACACAATTCCTTTAAACTCACAGAAAGCAAAAGCAAAGTGAATAAACAGTGTTAATGGTGGCAACATCAATCAAAAATGTTAAGATGAAAAATTCCAGAATTTAAGAAAGAATGACAAGGACAAGCTTCATTCAGAGAGCAGCTGAGATCTTTAATATCTATTCATCATCTCTCCTGTACTCGCTCACACACACAAACAAAAAACATTCCCCTGACTGAATATGTATCCTATGATTAACCTCCCTACAGCCTGGCCTCCCAATTACCAATCAAGTGTCTTTCAGAAACGACGGTTTGTGTGTTTGTGCGTGTGTGTGTGTGTGTGTGTGTGTGTGTGTGTGTGCGTGTCACCAATCTGCCACTTGGTTTTGAGATTCAGGTGTTAAATTTTAATTCATTAGCTTGTAACAAAGGCAAAACTGTTTGGATGACACTCACACATTACTGCGGCAAGAAAAATGAGATTGCATTTCATCTGTCTATTACTAACAACAGAAGCATCATTGCTATTCAAAGTAAGGTGGCACCTTGGCACCTTAGAAGTGTTTGTCTGAAATACATAAAAATAAATTAAGATGATGATGAAGAAGCATAAAAAGAAGCAGAAGAAGAAGATATTAATTAATAAATAAATATTTTTAAATAAAAAATAATATGGTGCCCCAGTGGTTAATAAAAAAATAAATGCAAATTACCCCTACTAAAATACCTCATTTGAGAATAACAATAACAAAATGACAAAACTGTGAGATAAAGTAAGTATGTGATTATCACTGACCTGAAAGTTGCCACTGTTCGTGTCAGTCATGTCCCAGAGGGCGAAATCAGTCTCTCTGTCTCCATTCTCATCAATCTGCACCAGACCAGTGACACCTGGGAAAACCAAGTGACAAACTGTGTGTGTTATAGAGCTCATTGCAACAAATTCACAACAGAACACCAAAAAAAAACAAAAAAAAACATTAGCTTTTATAAAGTGAAGTGTAAACTTTGACCTACTTAAAGTTGATGACCTGCCTGGCCATCATTTAAACATGAATATAAAGTTCAACCCCATAAAGCAGGAGTCCCATAGCTAAAATGACAATTTAAATAAATTGTGTTATCATTTACACACCATGTCGTTTTAAAGCTGTAAGACTTACTTTCTTCTAAGGAACAAAAATATATATATATATTTTTGAAGAATGTTGGTAATCAAACATTTTTGGTTGCCATTGACTTCCATTGTTTTTTTGTTTTTTGTCCATACAATGGAAGTCTATGGGAACCAAAACTGTTTGGTTACCAACATTATTCAAAATATATTTTTTTATATTAAACAGAAGAAAGATATACAGATTTCAGAATCAAATAAAGGTGAGCAAATTGACACAATTTAAATTTTTGGGTGGACTATCCTGGTAAGCGAGCTATAATTCTAAGAAGACATTAACATCATGTACCTCTTTGTCACATTATGAGTAATCAAAATGATTATAATCACGCATAGTAAATCAATCCATACACCGAGAATGTGTATACAAGTGTTCAATCAAATCTGATCGAGTCTATATTGAAAAGCTTCCGGTTGTGCCCATCTGCCAACGAGGGTCAGGTGCGGGCTGTAATTTCCTGTGGAGGCCACTCACCTTTTTAAATGGGCTACAGATAGAGGCCGAGTCCAGCTCAGAGGAAACACACAGTGACATTTAGACTGATATGAAAAGCTTAAGCTTTATCAGACTGGAAATGTCAAAGCCATTGGAGAGAGAGGGAGAAAGGAAGAGAGAGATGTCCTCACATCGGCTGATGATAAGGATAGCTTTAATAAGCCCACATGAGTTATAAAAGGACTGGACACGCACATAGAAAGTGAACCATGACTGCCCATCTTGTGCAAATTGTATTCAGAATGTGAGGAATGGTTTAAGTCATCTGAGTTGAAGTCATTTATCGTAGTGTTAAGACTACCTCAGCTGGAAGCACAGGAAACTACTTGAGTACGGCATACCAGAATGAAAATGTAAATGGAAGATTGATGATGAAAGCAGGAAAATAAGACTCTAAACATTTGAATACAATATTGAAACACAGTTCCCATCTCCTATGGTGTTGACGTCTGTATTTATGCCTTGTAAACTTCGTTATCTACCTGAATTGGGGGAAGTCGTGGCCTAATGGTTAGAGAGTCGGACTCATAACCCAAAGGTTGCGGGTTCGAGTCTCGTACCGGCAGGGATTGTAGGTGGGGGGGAGTGAATGTACAGCGCTCTCTTCCACCTTCAATACCACGACTGAGGTGCCCTTGAGCAAGGCACCGAACCCCCAACTGTTCCCCGGGCGCCGCAGCATAAATGGCTGCCCACTGCTCCGGGTGTGTGTTCACTGCTGTGTGTGTGTGCACTTAGGATGGGATAAATGCAGAGCATTAATTCCTAGTATGGGTAGCCATACTTGGCCACATGTCTTTTCACTTTTCACTTTTTTCACTTTGAATAATTGAGGTTTTGTCTAAATTGTGAGAATGACTTGTGATAAAACTGGAAGCAGCAGTAAAAACATACTGAAAATTAATAACCAATCAGTAATGTTTTGCATTTTATACCATCATTTTCCAGCAAAAGTGTATTTATGGATGTATCTAACTTAGAGTAATTTTATACCTATATAAAAACATTTTTAACTTAACATTTAATGAAACATAAATATTTTTTATATCAACATTAATATTTTAGGTTAAACCACAGATGCATATATGGAAAACAGTATATTTTAGTTGTCTTTATGTTTTTGGAGTTATTTTATAGCTATATAATTTTTTTTTTAACTTAACCTAAAATGTTGATATAAACAACATTTCATAATATTTCATTAAATGTTAATCCTAGATTAAGGTGAATATCTATGGAAAACAGCATATTTTATGTCTTTTTTAAATATGTCTTTTAAAAATTTTTATTTCAAATAAATAATCAAATAATATGAGGTCTTTTTCAATCCGCAGACCGCGGCGGAGCAGAGCGAGAAACAGAGGGCAAGGTGTGTGTTTATCGATAGATTGTTATAATATCTGCATCTGTGCAGTTCTTTGTCATAAATCCAGTTTACAAAATATCATGGGGGAGCAATAATCGGTTCCCCATCTACTGTAGCCTAAGTTTTCACTGCATTCACCCCTCATCACACCTCCAGCGAAAAATGAAGCACATACTTTATAAAACGATCATGTTGCCATTTTCATTTGAAAATTTTACTTTCAGTATAATACATATTCCAGTGCATGTGGCAAAGAGGTTTGCATACTTGAGCTAAGGAAAGAGGGTTGTATTAGAAATGCAAACAGTAACATTTTGTGTTTGTACAGTAAACAGGTTGTGTGTGTGTGAGATCATGAAGACTTGAATTTGGCTTATTCCGTTATACCTATCTATGCAATAAAGTGGAATACTGCAATAAGTTTAGTATACGACCCCTATTAATCAAACATTTTTTCATTTTATTTATATATTTTTTTTTATTATTAGACTATTATTATTATTATTATAACCTCACTGGGGGCTGAGCCCCCCTAAAATGAAAATCCTAGAATCGCCCCTGCTATGTACTCAGTCAACAGTTATGAAATGGGTTTCATTATCTTTACAATAAGGAGGATAAATGATTTTAGAAGTCAACTAAAGAAAGTCTACTTCCCCTTTCAAATGTCATGTAAACGGCAGAACAATATGTAGAACATTCTGTGATTCCTGTCTATTCAGCAACTTTAAACTGCTGCAAAACCCTTGTGTGCCCAAGTATTTAGGAGACAGGATATAACTGTACTAGCTGGAAAAAGAGTAGCTTAGTAATTTAAATTTTTGGGGCGGCTGCTGTTACAGATGTCTGAATGAACGTCTTAATTTTACAGAGATCTAATTGCAATCAGCAGCCAAATAATCATTCTAATTAATATGAATGTCACACATCCTGCACAGCATGAACAGATCTTCTGCAAGTGATGTTTTGCTATTACAGAATGAATTAGAATGTTATCTTTAGTTAAAAGAATCAATGTCTTAAGTCTAAGATATTTTTAATGATCTAACATCATCAAAATAAATAAATAAATAAAATTATAATAATAATAAAATTAAATAAAACAATTCTACAACTAAGCAAAACAGATAGCGACAGCAGAGGGATTAAAAACAGCAACATCATATCAGGAACACACAAGGATACATCACATGTGTGAGTCCTTCAAAGAACATATAACCATAAATAATGCAGTATTGTATTTCACTGAGTCTCTGCCCTATTGAGACATTTTTTACCTGGAGAATAATGTGAAAAGAAAAAAATATATATAATTGTTAGGAAAATAACATTGAAAACAGGTAAAAAAAGAACCTAAAAAAACATTCACCAATTAGTAATTACTGATGCTTTGTTTTAGACAAAGATGTGGCTGATAAGGTTTAATGCAGTTGTTTTTGGACTGTAAACTCTGGAATGAGGCAGAAGTATGGTCAATCTCTTTCCATCTCAACCAATAGCGAGAGTTTGGGGCGTGGCTACTGTAGCAGGCTGAGCCAGAGGGTGTTTAGCTGGCTAAAGTGTTAAATGGGAAAAGAAAATCAGATGTGGTTACAGAAGTTCAAGCCAAAATTCAAAGAATTGCCAAAATATTCAGACAATGGGGTAAAACAAGGGTAAATATTGGCGGTGCTTTTAAAAAATGGAGGAATTTTATGAAATCCATCGAGACGCTGAACTTGAGTTTCTTTTCGACAGGTAAGCTAAATTCAAATTGTTAGCACTTTACTGTCAAGCCCTAGATAAAATAGTAAGATATCGTAAGGATAAGAATAATCCTAAGGGCATGATGAATGTAAGGGACGTTTGTTGTCACTAATAGCACCGAAACAATAGGCCTACGTGGCTCTCTGGAATACTCAATTCTGATTGGTCAATTGCACAAATGATCGAAAAGCTTTTGTAGAGAAACAGTGACATTGATTGAGCAGTGCTGTTAAAACAGGTTCATTTACTTAGGGAAATTATCATTGTAGGCTAGCTGTCCAAGTATTGCATTGTGTTTTTTTTGTGTTCAACCATCGTGATTGTTATTTATGCATCAAATTCTGTACATGAATAAAACGATCCAGTCCATTCGGATGCCATTGAGTTTTAATTAATAATTTAATTATTTACATCATTATTATAGACAGACTGTCTGTAGTGCTCCTCAAATTCACTCTGTAGATTTATAAACTTATATTTTAGAAAGGATTTTGGTTTTATATAAACAGCTACAGACCAAATCTCCAGTCATCAAATCTGACAAGGCAGCATTAAAGGTTATTGAAATCTGTTCACACACAATGGCTTTAATATTACAGAAATGATCTCTGGTGATATCTAAACTTGTCTAAATCTGTTCCCCTCCTCTAGCTTTAAGATAATATACTTGTAAAATGATAAAATAAAAAAATAAAAAAATAAACTAAAAATATTTAATGTTGACATATTTTTGAGTAGTCGTGCGATACAGCAAGTCAGTCATTATCACAAATCATGTAAAAAATATGATTAAAAGTTAATCATTTACTTATAAACTTCCTCTGTGAAAGGGAAATTTTTACTACATTGATAACTATACTGTTGTGAATTTTATTTTCTAGTCTGCTCCAAATCAAATGTATCAAAAGGACATCAGCGGGAAAAGCTGAGGTGCTTGAATGAGTCTAAGTCTGGCCCATGTGGTGGTCTATCACTTTCAGACCACTAGCTTTGGTCAAATGTCTCCAGAAACACACCTGGCTCTGTGTGTGGGTGGGCAAACCAACCATATGTAACCTCTTTTTATATGAAGCAGATCCCATGGCAACAGGACACCTGCTGATTTTGGAACAATGTGAGAGAAGTCAAATACTGTAGATTGGGATCAGATATAAAGTGACGAGGGGATGCATGAGTGTATGGTTGGATGATAATAGAAGAAATCTTATAAATGCTTTTAAAATGTCATTTTATGTCTAATTTGGTTTATCTTGTAAAAAAAAAAAAATGACACATTTGAGTTAAAGTTCTCTCAAGAACTGTCCTTTGCATTGCCAACTTGGATTTGTTTGTTGGACTGAATGCCAAATGCATCCTTCAGCCAACAGACAGCACCAACAGATCTTTTGTTTATAAAAAATTCCAATTAACATAAAAGCAAACTTTGACTTGTAATTATTTACAGTATCAAGCACAGTATGTTTCTGAAATAGAAGACATCTTCCAAGGCTGTTTGTCTCTAAAAGACAGGACCTCTTTCAACACGAAAATGTTTCATTTAAGATTTTCATCTAAGACACAGACAAACGCTTTACTAAGTCTTTAGTTCAGTTCACATGCTCAATGTCACAAATGTGTTTATTTGATTAGTGATCAAGAAATAGTGCAGACTCTTTTAATGCTCTAACTTTCTGCTTTATATTTTCCTGTGCAACTTTCTAGATTTAAATAGAAAAATATCATATTTTCAATATTGTCTCAGAGTTTTGGTCCCCACTATATGAAGGCTTGTTTAATAGACACTGTTTGTTAGTCTAAATAGATGGGTAAAATTGCTGGTTGATCTAGCTGTAAGTACAGCATCTTATTGCACAGTATTTCGTGGAACTAGCTAAACACGGAATTACGAAACGAGGGAAACCTCCCCGATATTAGGCGCTGCTTTTAAATTACAGTGCATGCGAATCCGCACAAAGCAAATACTCCAAAATATTCTGCCACGATTTATAAGCAATAAACAGCGCAAGTCGCTTGACCCATTCAGATGTGACACAGAATTGTTATACAGTCGTGTGATATGAGAACATTAAAGGGGTGGTTCATTGCGATTTCACTTTTTTAATGTTAGTTAGTGTGTAATGTTGCTGTTTGAGCATAAACAATATCTGCAAAGTTACGAAGCTGAAAGTTCAATGCAAACGGAGATATCGTCTTTTAAAATTCTGTCAGTTTAATGCCTACAAAAACGGCTGGTAGGGACTACAACGAGTTACTTCCCGGGTCCGTTACGTCAAGAACCCAGAATTTGACATAAACCCCGCCTCCGGGAACACGCAGCAAAGGGGGCGAGGCCATGCTGCGCTGCTTTAGAGAAGAGGAAGAGAAAACGTCTCCAGGTTACGTATGTAACCATGGTTCCCCGAAGGGAACGAGACAC